AACTATACAAGACACAGTACCATAAAACCCTTCTTGTTGGTGACTTCAACGGACACTCGCCACGTTGGGGTTACCCTGACTACAATAGCACAGGGAACTACATCGAAGATACTTGTGAAACAACTAACCTATTAGTGCTGCAGGACACAGAGTCTACACCTACACTGTTACACAGGGCCCACCTATCTCTCAGCAGACCAGACCTGACCATCTGCTCATCCGACTTAGCAGACGCAAGCTATCCCCAAGTCCTGGACGACATAGGAAGTGACCACAAACCTATACTCACAACTGTAAGCACCACCCCTAAATTACGCTTCAAGCAGAGAACCCGTTGGAATTTCCGAAAAGCAAACTGGAAACTATTTCAGGAAACATCTGACTGCCTCCTGGGAAGAATTGACAACAGCTGTGTGGAAACTTTTTGTGAAGACATAACACAAGCAATCCTGAATGCAGCGTCGAAAGCCATCCCAAGGGGCAGCCGGAAGGCATATAAACCTTTTTGGAATCAAGAAATTCAAAATACTATATCTGAAAGGAATAAAGCAAGAATATTTCTCGAAACTGCACGTTCAACAGAAGCAAAGATCCAATACAATAAAGCATGTGCCAGAGTAAAGCTTGTAGTTAATAAGGCTAAAAGAGATAAATGGACAGAAACTTGCTCCAACTTAGACCTTAGACAGAATGGAAATAAAGCATGGACTTTAGTTAAAAACCTCTCCGGAGAAAGTAGAAGGGTGAACCCAAAACCAGTGACAGATGGGAGTAAGACAATCACCGAAGACAAGAAGAAAGCAGAACATTTCAATCATTATTTTGCCTCGGTTAACAGAGCAGGTAAGCTGTCAGAACTCGATAGAACACAGCTCTCTCAGTTGAAGAAACAAGAGAGAGCTCCAACAGCCAGCGACTCCCTTTTTGAAAATGAATTTAGCATGGATGAATTAGAGCAAGCCCTGAAGAAATTAAAACCTAGAAAATCTCCAGGCCCAGATAAGATCAACAACGAAATGCTGCTACATCTTGGCCGGTCTGGGAGAGAAGTAGTTCTCAGGCTTATTAATAAAACTTGGAGGTCAAGCAAACTTCCAAGGGCATGGAGGAATGCATATATCGTCCCCATCCTTAAAACCAAAAAGCCTCCAGATGACCCCAAAAGCTACCGCCCGATATCCTTAACATCATGCTTGGGCAAAGTTGCAGAAAGAATGATAAACAGGCGCTTATATTGGTTCCTTGAGAGTTCTGGTGTTCTATGCCATGAACAGGCAGGCTTCAGAACCAACAGCTGCACAGAAGACCAGCTGTTCAGACTGACACAAAGAATACATGATGGCTTCCAGAATAAGAAACACACAGTGGCAGTCTTTGTCGACCTCCAGCAGGCCTATGACAGAGTATGGAGAAAAGGTCTCCTGATGAAGATGATGAGCATAGGAATACATGGCAGATTGTATAACTGGGTGAAATACTTCCTGATAGATAGAACAATCCAGACTAAGATGCACAACGCAATCTCTTCTAAAGAAGTCTTGGAGGAGGGCTTGCCACAAGGCTCATCATTGAGCTGTACACTATTCCTAATCTTTATCAATGAACTGCCAGAACAAATCAAGGCCGAAAAAGCCTTGTACGCTGATGACCTAGCAATATGGCAGAGTCATGAAAATGTGGAAAGTGGAGCCCAAAGACTGAATGGAGACCTTAGAAGACTGCATGATTACTGCCAAAGATGGAAACTCAAGATTAACTGTGCAAAGACGGTCTACACAATCTTTACCAAAAGCCACCAAGTAGCAAGGCAGAATATTAACCTGAGGTTAGACAAACACCAAGTGATGAAAGAAGAGCATCCCACATACCTTGGAGTCACACTTGACCCGCAGCTCAGCCTCAAGAACCATATTGAAAACATCAGGAATAAGGCATTGAGGCGGTTACAGTTATTAAAGAGACTTGCAGGTACATCATGGGGATCAGACAAGGAAACTCTGAGGGGCTTATACCTAGGATATGTTCGCTCTGTGATAGAGTACAACAACTCACTGCTTACAACTTGTTCCAAAACTAACCTAGAGACTCTTGACAGAGTACAAAATAATGCCCTCCGATTAATCTGCGGAGCTATGCAGTCTACACCAACTGCTGCATGTGAAATCCATACAAATGTGGAACCCCTCGGGTTGCGGAGAGAAAAAGCCACTTTAGAAATTTATGAAAGATGCGTTAGGAAAAATCGTAACCATCCTAATAGACATCTTGTAGAAAACTGGGAATCCAAACAAAGAATAAAGCACAAATCGGTTTTACACTGTGTTAATGAAATTCAGGACAGATACCACCTCCCAGAAAGACGTCAAGGAATTCAGAATGTTGCAAAAAACCTACCACCACATGCTCGCTTTAAAGCTCCAGAAGTCCAAACTAAATTGGTAGGCGAGGAAACCAAACAGTCCGACCCAATCGCTCTTATGAACTCATCACTAAAGACCGTTGATTCTTACCCCCAAGAATGGATACATGTCTATACTGATGGATCAGCATTTAAAGCTACCATTAAAGCAGGTTACGGAATCTACATAGGTTATCCCGATGGATCTGTTGAAGAGATTTTTGATGCATGCGGGGAATTCTGTTCAAACTATGAAGCTGAAATAATTGCACTGGAAACAGCAGTATACCACCTAAAGACTGTAATGGATGTTTACCCCTCAAAGGTCCAAAATATTGTCATCTTCACAGATTCAATGTCTGCCCTTCAAGCTCTGGAGGGCAATGAACGCTGCAGAACTGACATAGCCAAGATAATCCTGGATGCCGATCAGCTTATTACCTCATACAACATCAGAATAGTGATGCAGTGGATTCCAGGTCACTCCGGCACACCAGGTAATGACAGAGCTGACAGATTGGCAAAGAACGATAACAACAATCCCCACACATACAGCTCAGAGGACAGCTCTCAAGATAATGAGACTGTACTAGTCTCTATGCAAACAGTGTCAGTCAGTCCGTAGAAGAGACATGAGACAAGTTCCACAAGGAGACAGATAGAAGTCCCTCAGAAAGAGGATACTATCGCTCTACTTTTATATCTGCACAACAGTAGTTACACAGACTACTACTCACACAAATATGTATATTGTATTCCCCAACAAGGTGAATTCAGCCTTCCAGATTACCACCCATTGTTTTGACATGAGTTAATTTGTAAATCCCCAAAGACGTCAGACTTGTCTGTCCACACCCTCTCAGTCTATAATGTGTGCAATTATTGTGCCAGCCTCCTGATGGGCATTACTATTTTTCACAACTAACTAGTTATGGAACGATTTGAGTGCTAGATTAAACCCCTGAAACTAGTGCCTGGATTGGTAGCGCATATCACCTCAGCCTGTAAAGAGAATGGTTGATTTAAGCGGGCCTGAGTAATTTGACACCAAGAAAAGTATCGTCTCATAGCAAAGTTGGCCCTCCTCCTCAGCAGCTGTATCTCTATATGTATACACGGTACTCGTAAACTATAGTCGACTTACCCAAGCTCAGGATTCCTCCAGGTAACATAACTGTTACTTCCTTTTAGACAGAATTATGCCCAAAGGCAGCACACTTCTGTTCTCCATGGAAGCCAGAGCGAGATGGGGGGGGGGGGGGGGAGGGCTTAGCGTCACTTTCAAAGAAATAAGGCCAACAGATTCCTACTCTAGATTGTACTTAGTCCCATCAGAACACGAGCAACAGCACCTAGAATCTCCAACTTCCAACTGTAAGTTTGAATATAGAGACATGCCGAGAGATTCAGAACACTCAAAGATATATATTAGGTAATAAAGAAGTGTAAATATATAAGAGGGACTATATAACCACACATGTAAGTTCAAATTTGAATCTGATCTCGTCTCCAAGGGGACAACAGGATCAAGAATAGTTTAAGATTAAGGGGTGGTTGAGACTGTAACGCGACAGTAGTAAATGTCGTCATAGAGTACCCATATTTCGTTCACCGGCGTCAAAGATCTGGATGGGGGTTTCAGGTAGAACGTAGAAACAAACCATGTAAGTAAGTCAAGCTAAGGACCCATTTCCACCTCTTCATGCGTACTGGGCACATAGGGTGCTCGACTTACATTATATAAAACGTGATGGGTGATGTGGCCATCATCGAACGACCGCATTTACCTCTCAAGACTCCATCTTATAGTACATTAAAGGCTGGGTCAACCTGGGTGCCAAGGTTGAAAGACCATGACAGAACAAATGTATGCTTTTTTTATTTACTTTTTTAAAATACCCTTTTCAGCATGAAAATCGAGGTAGAGGCAATCACTGCAACCCTGAAGTGCATAGGATAATAATTTAAAAAAAATTAACATACAAATCATAGTGTCTTATTCTAAGTCGATGCTGTGAAAGGTTTCAAATGGACACTTGTGCCATGAGTGGAAACAACAAAAAACTGCACGTCTACATCCCACTGACTCATATCTATATATTTTCCGGGTGTGCGAGGTAAAAAAAAGAGCGAATTGTTTTATACAAAAGCGATAGCTATATGGACAGATGATTCAAGAACCAACATCACAGCACTCGGGTCATTCCCGTTAGCACACAGTCCCCGTCCTCAACAGCCAGTGCATAGTTACAATACTAATGATGTCAGTAGCGTTCTGATTAAACGAACGTCTTGCCATTCATCTCAGCCTTATGCACCGGCCAGAACCCCTCGTCGCTCTCCGCTGCATCAGTCTCACCCGACTGTGGTGATTCATCTGGTTCTCCGAAGTGTACATGCTCTCCCATAGGCCCTAATCACGCTTTCCTTATTATGGATCCCACCGTTATGCAGAACCAACAAGTCACATTATACGTGGACGTACAAGCAGAACTAACAAGTCACAATATACGTAGAGGTACAAGAAGAACCAACAAGTCACAGTATACATGGACGTGTTAGCAGAACCAACAAGTCACATTATACGTGGACGTACAAGCAGAACCAACAAGTCACATTATACGTGGACGTGTAAGCAGAACCATCAAGTCACAATATACGTGGACGTGTAAGCAGAACCAACAAGTCACACTATACGTGGACGTAAAAGCTGAACCAACAAGTCACATTATAGGTGGACGTACAAGCAGAACCAACAAGTCACATTATACGTGGATGTACAAGCAGAACCAACAAGATATATTATACGTGGACGTACAAGCAGAACGAACAAGTCACATTATACTTGGACGTACAAGCATAACCAACAAGTAATATTATACGTGGACGTAGAAGCATAACTAGCAAGTCATATTATACGTGGACGTGTAAGCAGAACCAACAATGAGAGGGCGAATAAGAGGAAGAGAGTGATGTGTATGTGTAAAAAGTGTGCTTCAAGAACAGGCAGCATTTACAGCTTGAGACATTTGCAGCAGGATGAGAAGCATACGTTTGTAAACAGGGTTTGCTATGATGTTTATTCTTAGTTTGGTAACCAGTAATCAACAAGGTCGTGTAGCCAATCACCTCACCACCTCCACCCAGCGGACGCGCCTGGTAACATGTTTCGCTTACAATAGGAGAAGAACGTTTATTCATTTCCTTGATCAACAAATATTTATATATATCCTTGCATTATTCTGCATTGCCTTCTCCACCCATTCAGTTAAATGTTAAGTTATGTAAAGACATTACAAAGTCGCTAATTAATGGCCGTGCCGATAAAAGGATACAATGTATGTATGTTTCTTGATGCTCCTATTTCTAGATCAAAGAGCTCAGGTATTGTATGTAGAGAATACAACGAATAAATAAGATGTGGTCAATGAACAAATATATTGACTTTTTCAGTCTCGGTCCTGTGTTTCTTTATCTCCTTTTTTTTCTTTAGCAGATTTGGTTTTAAGTAATTCAGAGTTAGGTCTATAATGATCATCGTCACCATTCTGTGTGTGCCTTTAGTTTTCCTTAGGAGTTGAATTCGATTTGCTCCACTCTGCTCTGTTACAAGCAACTTAAATATGACGTGGAGTTTAGCCTAGCATTTTAGCCTTTCGTAATAATGCACTTCCTAAAGTTTCCCTTGGATATCCTTTTTTTTTTTTATTCAGACCGTTTGTTTGACTATTTAGTGCTTGCTTTTTTTGTTGTTGCTCATTTCTTCTAAGAGTGGGCCCAAAATACCCCCATCGTCTTTGTCTTATTGTGGTCAATACAGATATTTGTCCAGACATTTCTTTGTTTTGTAAATTCATTAGATTGTTCTCAGACATGTTTTTTTAAATGCATTTAACTTTCGTTTCATATCTTTGGTGGTTCTCCAACTTTTGCTGGCATATATCAAAAGTCAAATAACATTAGAATTGAAGATTCGTAATTTGGTCTTAGGCTGCAGCTGTACAACTTGGAGCTCTATATTTTGTTAAAGCTTTTAAAGTTTATTTTTGCTTTGCCAGTGTAGGTCTGAAATGGAGAAGGTGATAACAGTTTGGCACAAAGAAACAGGAGTAAAAGGGTAGAATGTGTTAATGGAACTATTTAGACAAAGATATCTAAGCAACTCCATTCAGCGCTTGGCGAGTTATTTAATTCTGAATGAGTTAAAAGTGACTCTATGAAGACATATCGGTTATTTGTTTCTAGCTCATCAGTGTATAGATGTCTTCATGGCGAAGTGGTCCCTCTCCCTTTGGGGGTTCGTGGGTTCGTTTCACGGCTGTATCGTTCAGTTTACGAGAGCGTGTATTACGGAGAACCTTAGGTGTCGTCAATGGATCTACGGTGTTCCTTCTTTGTGCGATGCATTCGGCAGCCAGCTAGCGGTTCTGCGGAAAGACAGAGCCGCATGGGATATTACACAGTGCAATGAAGTCGAACCTCCTAATTTTTTAACTTAACCCTGGCATAAGTGTATAGACCTTTTGGCGCTCCATGGTTTTCGTTAATGTTATCAAAATGCCCAGGCAAGATTTGTTTGCCAGAACATTCTGTAGTATATTTTACAGGCAAGAGTTGTACTGAGACATCGGCGACCGGGTCGCCCATCGGCTGTCCTGTAGATGACTTCGTCGTCGGTCGGAAAAAGTGTTTAGGTCTGTCTCCTGTGATCGCATTAACACTGCAAGGAGTCCTTTTCAGGGCTGCTACTGGAGTGCAATTTAGATCCATTATTAATCGCCCAAATAACCTAAGTCACACTTATAACCAAAAGCTCATCCTTCGGGAATGCATTTTTAACGTGACAATTGTTTCTTTCTAAAAAAAAAAAAAAAATGGATAGGATGTGAAATGAGAGACCAAATCACTTAATCGTATTCCCCTCTTCAAAAGTAACGACAAGTAATTAGGAACGCAGTGGTGTAACCGATAGACGGTCGCAAGTGGATCTGAAAGTCGTGGCTTCAGATTAGAACGGTGCCGAACTTTTTTTTTTTCAAAACGCACCTACGTCCCAGACTTAAATGGGCACCAAATAAAGTCCTAGGGAGCTAAAGGCCGCCGGCGTGCTCGTGACCATATTACCAACGGAGTGCCGACTGGCATTTAAAATAAAAGGCTAACACCAAATGCCAAATACGCTTGAAAGCCTGAGAAAGAGTCCACTGAGGAAAAGTGATTATGTCTTGATAATTATTTTCTTCTGACGGGACTCTGTATACGTACTGTAAGTAAGGTAAATAAAGGTCCCCTTTCCACGCATTCCGGCCGATGGGGCATATAGGGCTAGACCTATATTTTTATACACTAATCAGCACAAGATAAGTTGTGTGGTCAGCATCACGCCGACCGCCTTTACTTCTCAGGACTGCACACGACACTCATTCAAGGCTGGGTCGACTTGGGAGACAAATTTATTTTTGACAAAAAGTTTGGCACCGCCAATATGTTATTATCCTTGTGTGTCGGCTCTGTGGCTAAGTCGATGCGAACGCTTCGTAATGCCGGGATGCCGGGTTCGATCCCAGCTGCAGGACATGCGCCTTGCGTTGGTTTCGACAGTGGTATCCAGAAAGCCGACCGTCCAGTAAGCAATGGCTGCACGTAAATTTGCCTAGAAAAACCACATAACAGCCAGGGTTTGTTGGGGTTGGTTCTGCAGCGTCCTGTAAAGGATACGTAACTAACCTATTCTCATTATGTACATTCTTGACATGAGAGTGCCATCGTCATTTTTCATAAAATCCCTACAATGTGGCGTTGGTAGTCATGTCTATCCACAACCTTCTGTCTCGTGTACTTTCAACCAACTCTAACACAGATGATCCTCCATGACATGATGTCAGACTGTCCATCATCGTTTCTCTCGCTCTCCCTCCGCCCCGCCTTACCCTCTAGCTATAGTACTGTCGCCATGTAGTCTAGTTTTCTTCTTTCCATCACATGACTTCTTCTTCTTCTCTTCCACCTTGTAACTTATCGAAGTGTCGGGGGGTACATGACTAATTAATGTAAATTGTCTCTTTCTGATGTGGTCAGTCAGTTTTCCTGGGTAGGTTTCTTTCAAGACGTCTTAATATTGTTTTAACTGTCCATGGTATTCTCATCACTGGTCTATAAAAATACACCTCCACAGCTTCGAAATCAGCTTTAATAATTTACTAACTCTCCACCCACCAATGATGGTTACACCTTGGAAGAGAAAGATAACTTCTTTGACTCAGTGTCAGATGTCATCAGTCAGATACACGCAAATGATGATCTTATGGTAATAGGTGACCTAAATGGGCATATAGGGCAGAGGCGAACACCGTGGGAGGAATATATCGGGCCACACTCAGACAACAGCAAAGTCTGCAATTACAACGGGCAGCGTATCTTAGAACTTTGTGCAGAGCATGGCCTTTATGTCACCAATAGTTTCTATCAGCATCGACACAGCCAAATAAACACCTGGTATAAATGGAGCAACCCAGACCAGGCCGCACAGTTGGACTACATACTAAATCGACAAAAGAGAAGAAGCTTAGTAAAAGACGCAAGAGTAATTCCTAACATCTCTTTAAATACAGACCATCGACCGCTGATCGTATATCTAAGCGAAGCAACAATTAACAAAAAACCAAAAAAACATCAGTACGTACCTCAATGATTGACATAAGACACCTAAGCAATCTAGACAACCAAGCAAAAGTACAGGCAGAAATGACGGCGAAGATGGCTGAGCTAATAACATCAAGTGACAATGTGGAAGCTGCGTGGCAAAATATTTAAGAACACTCCTCTGAACTGATTAACAACACTCTGTGGTATTAGATACACAGGAGGAACGTTCAGGAAAAAAAAACAGCATGGTGGAATGATAACGTAAAACAAGCAGTGAAATGTAAAAAGGAGCAATACAAGAAATGGCTAAGATCCCGCTCAGATGACGATTATATCAAGTAAAGAATTGCCAGGCGACAATCTGCAAGAGAAATTAAACAATCCAAGGAAACATCCTGGATCATGTATGGGGAAAATCTTACCAAAATCTGTGCTAAATCTAGTAGACAGTTTTACAAAACCATTGCAAAAATGAGAACTAGAGATGAACCATTCCAGCCATCTGAATATGTCAATGATAGTCAAGGCAAACCCATACATGAGGAGAGCAAGATCAGAGAAAGGTGGAAAGAATATTTTCAGACTCTTCTGAGTGTATCAGGAAATGAGGAAACAGTACCATTCATACCCAGATGTACAAACGAGGAACATCCTACAATAATCGAACAAGAAGTCAGAGAAGCAATCAGATGCAGTCCCAAAAATAAGGCATCAGGTGTTGATGGAATATCAGCCGAGGCAATACAGGCTTGTGGAGAAATTGGAGTCACCTGGCTACTCCACATATTTAGGAAAGCCTGGAATGAAAGAACTGTACCAATAGACTGGCAAAGAGCCCTTATAGTCCCAATTTGGAAAAGAAAAGGCAATAAGCAAGATTGTAACAATTACAGAGGCATCTCCCTTCTAAGCCACGTAGGAAAAATGTTTGCCAAAATTCTGGAACAACGAATTAGATCCGTTGTAGAACCGATCCTGAGCCCATCACAGGTCGGATTTAGGAAAGGAAGAGGGTGTACTGACGCTATTTTTGCTTTAAGACAAATTAGCGAAAAGACAATAGAACACAGACATCAAATGAACATCGCTTTCAAAGATCAAGAAAAAGCTTTCGATAGAGTAAACATAAATTTATTATGGAAAGTTCTTGAAAACTACGGCATAAATGGAACAATTTTAGATTGTGTTAGGGCTATTTATAGACAAAGTGAAAGCGCCATTAGAACAAGAGCTGGCATCACAGACTGGTTCCCAGTAACATCAGGAGTAAGACAAGGTTGTGTATTATCACCTTTACTTTTCATAATATATATGGACAATATTAATAAAATAGAGATAACACCAACAGATGTCGATAAACAGGAGGACTTCAATGAGCTGCTCTTTGCCGACGATCAATGCATATTTCACAGTGATAGTAAACAGCTGCAAGACCACATAAACCTACTACACGACAGTTGCCTCAAGCATCATATGAAGATCAATACTGAAAAGACAGAAGTCATGAGCCTAAGTAGAGAG